TATATTTGAATATATAATTATATTTAAAATTAATATAAAAAGATATTTTTAAATATATAAATTATATTTTGAATTTAATATAAATAAATATATTACTTTAATATTTTTTTGTATTTATTAAAAAATATTATTTTAATTGATGATGATTTGTAAAAATATTAAAAATTAAGAACATCTCTCGCGGTAGTTACCTATTCGTTTCTTAACGCCACCTCATCATTGCTTATTAAAATTTGAGAAATTATACGATACGCACTATAATTGTGGGGTACCGGAACAATCATTTTATTTTTATTTTTTTATTGTAATTACTTGTTTTATTTTTATTTTAATTTAATATTTTAATAATTTATCTGTATAATTTTTTTTATATCTTTATATTATTTTTATATTTTTTAATTTATATATTAATGTAGCATCTATTATAATTAAAAAGTTTAATATTAATATTTTGTTAATATGTTTTAGTTTTTCTTTGATGATAAATTTTTTGAATTTATAGTAAAATTAGTTTTTCAGTTGTATTATTTGTTTTTTTTATTATTTTAATGTTTTTATAATATTATTACAATTTTTTGTTTGTAATTTTTTAATTTTGTCAGATATAAACAAAATTTGTTATGAAAATTGATTTTTTGATTATTTTTTTTTTGAATTAGTCTTTTTGATTTTATACAAATTTTTAATCTAAAATTTATGTTATCTTGAATTTATTTTTTAAAATTTATTTGTTCACATAATTTGATGTACCAAAACCCTTCAATTTTCATGAGCACCATAACAGCTCCCTTAAAATTTTGCACTGGAGATGATCTAGGTGGCACAGTAGGTTACTTAAACCCTAGCAACGTTGCTTATAAAAGTTATAACTTATTAAAATGACAAATTATTAAAAGTATAAATTATTAGTATTATAACTTATTAAAATTAAAAATTATTAAAAATATATATTATTAAAATTATAACTTATTAAAATTATAACTCATTAAAATTATAATTTATTAAAATTATAAATTATTAAATTTATTACTTTATAAAAGTATAAATTATTAATATTATAAATTATTAATATATTAATTTTTATAATTATAAATTATTTTATATACAAATTTATATAATTAATAAAACAATTTTTATGTAAAAAATAAAAAGGCAAAATATGTTATTCAAAATTCGATTTTCGAAAAACCAAATTCCAAACGCTATAGAAAAGAGGTTCAAAATTTCATAAATATTAGAAGAGAGGTTCATTTTGATTTTTTTTTAAGTATTATTATAGTAAAAATTCACACTTTGCTAGTTACACATAGAAGAGAGAATAATCTAGGTTATTAAAGGTGTGACTTTATATATGTGCATTTTTTTATATGTAATTTTGGATAATACATAGATCTTCCAAAATTTAACTTTCAAAACATATTAAATACATTCCAAAAATTAAATTCTACGTGTGTTTTTAAAAAGAATTTTTATTTTTTATTTATTTGTTTTTATCTCAATGACATACTCTAGCATTTTACCAAAACAAATTTTAGCTCAAAATTCAAATAACATCCATAGCTCAATTTCTTGTTTAAAGTGTGTTCAAGTACTTCAAGTAACTAGTTTATGCATTTCAAAATCTAATTTTCAATACACTTGTTAAATGAGGAAAAAAAATTGTGAAACGGAAAAGTACAAACATTAAGGATTCTGGATTTCCCCATTGTTGGTTCCATGAAAGATCAGTCACAGAAGCAGTAATAAACATTTACAATGTTCCATGACAAATTCATTCAAATGACGCACATAACCAGAATATAGAGATTTAAGGCACAAACAAGTAAGAAAAATATAGAAACACGTTCATTATGAAGTTAAATGTCCACAAGAGAAGAAGCAAAATACTTCAACTATACCCTACATTCCATGAATCATGAAATAATGTTTCCAAATCTCATCAATTGAAATCCTTAAGTCGCTTTTTGAGCACGTCCATTGATTTCTTTCTAGCACTTTGCTTTGAACTTTTGTTAGAAAGGCTTCCAAAGATCCCATCTGGAGAATCCTTGTACTTATCAAGGATGACAGCCACTTTCTTAATTTCAAGTGCATAATAATTTTTCTCCCATATATCTGGATTCAGGAAGTTCTCAGGTTGACTACTTAGCAAAAGATTGACTAACTGCCGCGCTTCTACCAAGCTGTTCTTAAAACTACCTTCACTGTATATTTCTCCCAAACCAGCAGAATAGAATCTTTCCTCTGCAAAATTCTCTATGATCTGAACATCATATTCAATATTTATAACTGCGTTTGCATTAAACCTTTTGACACCATCACTAGAGAAAGCCGCCACTATGGAATTTGAAATGTGCTCAAAAGCACCACTCCCGACTCTGTACACATCATCCAAGGGTAAAATTTGTTGCGCTGGGGACATGATAGACTCAAGGTAAATGATCACTTCATGTATGTAATCATGTCCACCCTCATTTGTCTCCTCAGAAATCCAGTTAATGCTTTCAACAAGGGTCATAAACTCATTTATTTTTGTGTTTACCAAACTCTGTAAGGCAATGAAAGCAGCATCCCTGGATGTCTTGAAGACCACCTTTGCAGTTAAAGTAGCTTGAGGCCTGCCAACCGATCGGACTGGGATGCCACATAGTTGGGCCGCATGTCGAAGGAAAAAATCACAAGCTCTTTCAAGAACAGCTATGTTTGCAGCAATCTGCATGAGTTGAGGTACACTGATGTTGCCACTATTGATTTTCTCAAGTAAAGTTACATTTAGTACATCAATCAGGAACTTGTCCAAATACTTCCTCACAGAATCAAAGAAATTCAAATGTATGCCATAAGACAAGTAATCAACAGATCCTTTAATAAAGGATCTCACAATGCGACATGCATCAGGTACCATGGAGGAGAATGGTGCAATGTATGGGAATGCAGGCATTATATCTGATGTTTGAAGATTAAATGACAAAACTATATTCTCATAGTCAATTTCCTTTTTTATCTCCATTTGCTTATAAGAGTCATTGCCAAAGACATCAACAGTTTGTTGCCGACATTCTTCCAAAAGAAGCAAGTGGTATTTGTCACAGCAGCTATCCAGAACATCAATAAGTGTGGCTATTCCATATCCATATTGCCTAAGAGTAGACCCAAACAGAGTAACATAATCTTTCACCAGGAGAAGATGAGGGGCAGACTCCATACAAGAGAACTGCTCCTCCAACAGTGATGTCATTTTAGCCATAGCTGTCTCCCACATTGTTTCAACCTGATCAGCTAACAGGAGCCCCCCAGTAGTTCTAAGGACTCTATCCTCCACTATAAAGAATCCGGCAATTTGAGCAAAAAATGTCTGGTATGATTCAACAAAAGGTTGTGCTGAAGATAACTCCAGGTCTGAATTCAATTGTAACAATCTGTTAGTATAGTAATATTCACGAAACTTCTCTCGGATACCAAGACAATCATGAATATGACAAGCACGATAAAGTGGTGTGAGATCAAACTGTAAAACTGAATCTTCTTCGAATTCTTCAGCATCCAAAGTATAAGCTAGATCACCTAGTCCGGAAGCACTTTGCTCCTCTGCCTTCCTCTGCTGTTCTAGCATTTCCATGTCCCTCTGACGAACTGTCACAGCACGACCAATTGCTGTTTGCCCAATATTTCTAGCAGAACTCCTTATCTCGACCATCCATTCATTAACTTGACTGCATACCTTCTTCTCAATGTGCAATTTTATAACAGGAATCCTCCTCTCTATGACCATTTTGAGTGCCTTAGCAAGAATATTCTGTGAGCAACTTTTCTCAACCAAATCCAAAGTTTTCAGTGCAGAATAAAACTGACCTTCAGAAATGTGATTGTTACACTTGACACAAAGCTCTAACACCTGTATGCAGTTCTTCGACATTTCTATAGCTTCAGTCATATTCTTCCTAACAGAATAAGACTCAAGAAGCTCTTCAAGCTTGGCAAGAAGGGCGCTGCCAACCTGCTGCAACTTAAAATTGTCACTCTGGAGCTCACCCTTCAGCTCCTCAGCATCAACCAACACGCCACGAAGCTCATCAACCGCGAGGATGAAATCCTCGTAGTGAGTCTTGCACATCTCCTCAATTTCAGCTTCCTTCTCCTTAACCACATATGTCAGCTGGCGAAGCAGCCCCTCCGGCCGCCCCATTTCGAAGGCGATCCTGACAAGAGGACCAACATCATCCCCATTTGCAATCAAATTAGCCAAAACCATATCCTCCCCTCCATCACCGTTCTCCATAACACCTCTCCTCTTTGTCTTTACATCCATGATTACAAGAATCCCTGGAATTTCAACAATTCTCATCAGAAACCAAATGCTAAACTAATCCTATAAAAAATGAACTATTCCAGAAATCAACAATCACACAATTTCCTTGTTCTATTTTTTCCCCATCACAAAACTTATATTCCAATAACAACAGCATTCACACACCAGTAATTCATGTTCACTGTGCATAATGTAGAAAAAAAAAGTTAAAAAATAAATAAAAACGAAAACTAAATCAAGCTCGACAGAAACTAGAAACTAATTATCAGGAGATTAAAAGCAAAAAACACTAATTACATCAGTAATTCACTCGAACAGATTTTTTTTTCTCTTTTTAATGATAGGAAAGATTACAAATGCCAACAACCCGAGCAGGTTTCCTATGCCTCCGATGATACTTTATAACAGTGAATGCAGAAAAATAGAATACCATAAAAATATTAAAAAAAATGTACATATATAAATAAAATATGCTTGTAAAAAGAATCATACCCTATAAAAAGAAAAGGGGCATAGAGAGAGAGAGAGATGAAAGAAGCTTGAAGAAGAGACTTAAAACAAGAGCAGAAAGTCCAGTTTAAAGGGTACTTAAAGGTGAAAGAATGGCATGAATAGATTTGAAGACATAAAAGGGAAGAATGAAGGAAAGTAAAAGAAGGGACCTGGGTGAAGGGAGAGAGTAGAGGTGAGCTTAGGAATCTCAAAGGCAAGAGTGTTTTGTTTTGTTTTGTTTGTCTTCAAAAATCAGAACGGTGTTGTTGGGTTGGGGACGGGAATTCCCAAGTACCAGCCAAACCAAGCCACTGCCGCTTTGCCCGTGCCGCCTTCTTTTCTTTTCTTTTTATAGAAATAGAAACACTTATGCGGTAATGTGTTTTTTTTCCTCCCAAATTCTAACCCAATCATTAAACAAAATTTAGTATCAAATTTTAGAGTAAATTACATTCAGGTTTCGTGAATTTCTAAGAAACTGTAATAAAACGTATGTTTGGGTATTAATTTAGAAAAGTTTTTTTTTTCGGAAATTAAAGAGTTTTTTTCGGTAATTTACAGTTAAACTGACTTTTGACATTTACAACTTTTTAAGGTTTGCAGTAACTTTCTTTACTTCCATAAAATATCTTTTAAATAATTAAGGAGATTAAACTAATGTATAAAGATGTTAGTATATTATTTTTCAAACAATTAAAAGAGGTTACTATAAACCTTTAAAAAAGAAAAAGAAAAAAGGTGTTAATAAATCTCGTAGAATTTCAAGAGGTGTTAATGTAATTTATTCCAAATTTTAATGTTTTTACACTCAAGTAAAATAAGTAAATAAGTAAACTTTAATTATAAAAAACTTTTTTTCTCCTAATTCTCTTTCATTACCAGAGAATATTTAATTGATCTGGTGTAAGGATAACTTTAATATAGTTAAGAGTATTTTATTAAATACAAAAATTATTTTTTCTCGAATTTTATCTTTAATTTAAACTAGTATTTTAATTAATATATTATGTACGATAAATTTTTATTTTATATAATTAAAAATTATAAAACTAAGTATTTTAAAATATAAAAATTATATTTTAAATTTATGATAAAATTTAAACTGTGATATAAAATTATTTTAACTATTACTATCTTCTATCCCTTAAGAAAAGGGCCGAAAACTATTACACTATTCTATATTGAATTTTATATTTGTTCACCACTACCAAGGCACGTTGTTCACCACAAGTCGATATCCTTTTCGACTCCATATACGAGATTTTCTTTTTCTTTAAGTTTTGTGTACCACATTTGAAAGCTAAATTTCTTTATTTACAACATTCCTCTTGCTTACAATCAGGTAGTGTTTGTTTCTAAGGATTTATTCTTCACGAGTAAGGAAAGATGAAGAAAATTTCTGTTTGTTTCCGGTGATTTGCGATGACGGAAAGACGAAGAAAAGGGGAAAGAAGCGTGGTTCGCGTCCTCGCACAAAAGCGAAGAAAGGAGAAGAAAGCCACGTAGGATTTGTGAAAACCCGTAAATGCCCCTGTCCCATGCATGTATAATCAATTATACGAAGGAAGCATAATAGATTATGGTTGGCCACATAATCGATTATGGTCTTGCATAATCGATTATGGTTGAGCATAATCGATTATGCAAGGCCATAATTGATTATGTGGCCAAGCATAATCGATTATGCTGGGGTATTTTCGCTTCCAGTGGAACCCAGAACGGCCCGTTCCAAAAATGAATTTTATGTGCAAAATGTGAACTCAGAATGGGCCGTTCCACTTTAGGAACGGGCCGTTCCACTTTGGGAATGAGCCGTTCCAGTTTTGGAACGGGTCGTTTCATAAATGGACGTTGTGGGTTAATTTGTAACCCCAGAACGGCCCATTCTGGTCTGAGAATGGCCCGTTCTGGGTATCAAATTTTGTTTTACAAAATATAATTATCATAATATATTTTGTTATTATTATTTATTATTATAAATATTGTTATTCTCATTTTTATTAATATTATTATTATTTATTATAATTAGTATCATTATTATTTATTATGATTCTTATCATTTTTCTAATATTTATTATTATTCTTATCATTATTTATTATTTTTTTAATAAATTATACCTATTAATATAATTTTATTGTAATTATTATTATTTACAATAAATAATATTATACTCATTTTTAATCCAACGGTAAAAGTGTAAATTATATATTCATCTATTAAATTTTTAATTTTTATCTATCATTAAATTTAAAGCAAATATTTAAATTAAATTATTTTTAAATTAATATTTTATAATTTTTTTAGTTAAAATTTATATATTTATCTTTTAATTATAATAATTAAAAACCTTTTTTTAACCAAAGGGCAAAATAGTAATCTTACACAATTATCAATTAAAAAATTTATTTTTATCTATCACATCAATCAATTCACTCACAAACTTTCACAAACTTTCTCTACACTTTCCACTCACTTTCCCTTAATTCAAACAACCTCACTTTCCACTCACTTTCCCTTCAAATCCCTCCTTTTCCACTCCCCCTTTTCCATCCTCAAATCCAAACAAAGCCTCAGTGACGGATTCAGAAATTTTAAGTAATTGGACAATATTTAAATACATAAATTTATCAAAATATAAAATAAAATTTTTATAAAGATAAATACATATCATAATTGTTCTCTACGAGTTTTCATAATTTGAAAACATTGAATGATTTGCTCATTTTTGATACTATCAAAAACCTCTCTCTATATATAAGTAACTAAATAATCATTTAATCATTCATCTCGCATACGATTATGCATCCGATTCTTGATGATATTCATAGCAGAAAAAACCCTTTCAACTGATACAGTTGCCACTGGTAGTATCAAGGCTAGCTCTAAAAGCAAATACACCAATGGATATACAACATGTTTTCTTGTCTCCACAAGCTTCATAGAAAGATCATCAATCCCTTCTAATTTTAAAAAAGCACTATCAAAACATACATCTATGAAATAATTTTCAAGTTGATTATCTAATGTCAAAAGTTCAACTGGAGAAAATTCAAAAGAATAAAATTGAGCAAAACGAATCAACTTCTCATTGTCAAATGCAGAAAATGAATATCTTGGATTTAAATATGCTACACAAAGAAGCAACTCATAGTTTAGCTATTCAAACAAGGAATAGAGATGAAATAAGAAGTTTGTTTTTTTTCTTCTTCTAATTTCACTCTTCTACACTTTAAAATATGTTAGAGGTAGAGGAGAACCTCAAAATATAAAAAGAATTGGAAAAAATAAAAATAAAATAGAAAAAAGATATAAAATATCTATAAAAAAAATTAATAACAACTTATGATTTTTTAAAACTTAAAATACATACATTATTAATTTATAATTTTTTTTATCTTGATTTACAATTTAAATGCATAACAACTTTTTTTTTCTAAAATATGTAATTTATTGTTAATTATTATAGCATATTATTTTGTTTTTAAATTTTTTTTCTCACATAAAGATGACTGCAATAAAACTTAAATTCAGTTTTAATTTTATAATTTTTTTAAAATTTTTTATTTTTAAATTTTAAATGAAAATAATATAATATTATATATATTAAAAAGGAAAAACGGAAAAGTTAGTGGGGGCAACTGCCCCCACACGTCACACATGTCACTAGATGCGTCCGTCCCTGCTAGTTACAATACACTGACATACGGTTTAAAGTCGCAGCTACCAACAACCTCAAAGAAATCATTGTATACTTTAAATTTAACTTATGTAATTAGGGAGTCTAATTGAATAAGTTATCGTAAATTTTTTGATATTAAATTTTATTTATATATATATATATATTATTTTATTTTCATTTTGTCCTGAAAAATAGCTGAGAGGTGCGTTAGCAATGTTGTGGCAAACATGCTGAAGTATTTAAAAGTGTTTGCTCTTATTACTCACTAGAGTCCTCAGTTTCCTAAAAAAAAAAACTGGAGAATGAATATGAATAATATGAAAAATACAATACAAAGCAGAGATAATATTTCTTACTTACATTGGTCCCCCTTTTCAATTTACCAAAGGAATTTAACAGTAACAAAGTTAATTACTTAATCAAGAAAAGTGAAAAGTGACCTCAAAATCATTATGTAGATGGAATGCGAGACTTAGAAGAGAGGGAACATACTATTTTACGATACACAAACTGAACTAATGATATTTTTATCTAAAATGAACTAAATTATTGTCCAAAATCTTTGAACGACCAAAGTAAAGAAACTTGTATCTTTGAAGAATATGAAGAAGATTTGACATAAAATAGAAAACAGTAGGTAACTGCACGGTCCCTACCACTTGGGGTTGGCTAATTGTTCTTCCTTTACGTTTACACAACTCAATTTGCATTCTTTGTCCGTTAACTGAGGAGACATTTGACCTGATGTTTGCAAAGAATACAATGTTGTGGCCATGAAGATTTCAAAATGTTGATGAGTTTTAATGAGTTGAGAAAGACGATGAAATCAATACATTATTGTTTAATTTTGATATATACTGTATAGTTCTACATGATTAATCAATTAAAAATTGCTTTAAATATAACTTTTAAGTAATAATTATTATAAAACTCAATATTTTCAATTAATGGCAATTCGTGATTGTAAGAATCAGTGTGTTCCAAAGTAGAATTTTTTTCCTTTTACCTAAGGGAGGCCGTTGGGCCTAGGCTTATTTTTATTTGCTACTTAAAAGGCTTTTCCAGTTGAACAAGAAGCATACAGTACAATTCACTCTTTTGGGTGGACTAACACAAATTATTGAAGGACATCAAATACCACCAATCTTCATTCCAGTTGCAGTCTAACTTTATGATTTCAAGATATGCAAACATGTTTTCTTGGGTCATGCTATGAAAGTTTACAAGTTGGCTACACCAAAAATATCAACATATGGTTTTCGGTTTTTATTTTTCATATAATCAAGAAAGAATATATATTTACTTTTTAATTAAAAAATCAGAAAGTCAAGTGTAGAGGCAATGCATTTGAGTTTTATATGCCAGTCATATTCCAAACTATGATCTAGAAGGTCATGCTAGTGACTCCTTTAAAATAGGATTTTTCTACTATGGTCCAGTAGTGCATTTGAGAAGAACAATAGTGGCTACCTTGTAGATCATTTCATCTTGCGAGCCATGTCAACCAAAGATTTAGGAAAACTAATCAAGGAAGAGCTAGCAAATATGTTGGATCCCAAGGAAAATATTGGGCGAGTGGTAAATCAAGTCATGTGAACTTAGACCTTGTCAGAATATATACATACTAGAAGAATTTTTCTACCGGAAAAAACTCTT